CTCTTCCGACTACTTTCTTTTTTTTCGGCTGGTAACGATTTAATTTCTAGGCTGGTATCGTGCCATTGTAAACGGCGAAATGCCTCGCTGGGTGCCGCGCAAAGCGGCTGATGCAACAGTTGCTATCATGCCAGATATCACGTCTATTGAGGAGGTAAGAATTTGGTATTGTGAAACCAAGCTCCCACCGACCTCTAACCAGCTTCCAGGAGAATGACGATGAAGAAAAGGCCAAGGAGGGTGTTAATGAGGATGCACGTACAGGAGATATTGCCACGCAGACGAAGAAGATTTACAAGACTAGAATGGAGCTCAAGAAGAGGATGGAGCGCAAGGTGATGATGCTCGGGGGCAAGCTGAAGTTTAAAGAGGAGATGAAGCTCAAGAAGATGAGATTCAAGAAGATGATGAAACTTGAGAAGGAGATGAAGTTTGAGAGGATGAAGCTCAGGAAGATGAGACTCAAGAAGGAGATGAGGCTCAAGGAGAAGATGAAATCAAGGCGTTGATTAGGCTTAAGACGGCGACGAAGACAGGATGCATAATTCTATCATCAAAGGAGAGTCAACTATAGGTTTCTCACTGTAATTCAACTAGGCCGCACATTACAAGCCCAAAATGATTCGGGGTAGCAACAAAAACAATTTCAAAAAAAGATCAATACAACGCTCGATAGGTATGAAGTCTACATGACACAGCATCACGAGATCCTGCGCCACAAAATGTCACTTTAGCCCTCGTCACTACTGTTTAGCTGTTGGTCACGAGGAAAAAAAGATGTAGGAGACAGAGAGGCGGAGGCGGTGCTTTGGCCACAGTGAGGAATGCTGTCGTTGGCGCGACAATGGTCAGGCAGAGGGAGAAGAGGTTATTTGTGGTTGATCGGAGCTTTTTCGCGTAGTCGGTTGCCTTGGCAAACCAAAAGCTCGGACTATTGTGCATGGAATAAAGCGCCGTCGAAGATTTTGGTGTTGATGAGAGTAGAAACGATGCATTTGGCGATGGTTCGAGGTGCGTCAGATTCAGATTCCCATAAAAATAGCAGGATTTGATCGCCGATGAAGAAGCTGTGTGAATCCCACTCTAAAGAGGCCATCCGCTTCAAAGTGCCGAATACCATGCACGTTGGCCATTTCTGTGAATCATCTGATTCTCAATATGCGACGAGGCTAGCAACAGCACAAGTCTGAGTAGTACACAGACTGATCAATGACATATTCTGATCGATGACAACATCTGATCAATGTCACCTTGGAGGCAGATCATTTAGTATGTTTTTGGTCCGCGGAATCGATCGATACATGTGTCGTCACTGGAACGTTTCGATTGGACAATGAATGAAACGGGAGTGCCTGGCGGATACTATTGACTACTATCAAAAACCGGTACTCGACCAGTTGGACCGGCTTCATCACAATCACACGTGCGGGCTATGCATCTTGGGAGATCCCTGTTGAGCTCCACAAAGCTGAGACCTTATGGATCAATCTCGTGGCAGTTGGACAAGATATCTCAGCTTGTCTATGCACCAATAAGCGCTGGAGCAACTTTGTAAAAGGTAGAGGCATAAGGACGTATGAAGTAGATGAAACCTCTGAATGTAAGTGCATGTACGTGCATGTACTGTGTAGTGTGCATAATAGAGCTCAATCATGGCCAAGTCAGCACTTGTCCGGCCAGTTTGCTACAACTATTCATCCATCAAGAGGCCATCGATATTCGCAGACAATGCACTTAATCGTTTCCATGCCAACATTCCACGCAATGGCCGGTCGATGCGACCTCGTGGCGGCTACAGCTGCAAGCTCTTAAGCGGAAGATGGCGAGCAAGGGTGGCTGGTCACTCGCCCCGCAGAATCGCCGCCCATTATTGGGCCAGTTCTCCAAGGCTGCGTCATTTATGGGTGTCGAAGCGCGTCAGACACGCGTGGAGACGCGTTTCTCATCGTCAGACTGTGGCCCTCACTAAGGCCCTGTGGCTCTGGCCTCTGTTTGCGCTGGCCTCAATTCCATCGTGCTGGGCCATCCCGCTTTGTTGCGTTGCAGTTTGTCACTCGCAAGGGCTGAAGAGAGACTGAGCGTTGGTGAGTTCTGGCAACAAGTGTGGTGGCCAAGGAGCTGCTCAGAGCCATTGCGTACAAATACAACGTTGCGGCGTCGCATTGTAAGCTGTACGGTGCAGAATAGACGTTAGTGTTGCCAGTATCTGGAGAACTGGAAACTAGCTGGTGCAAGATAATTCGTATCAAGACGGTTAGAATGTTGTCAAGGGCCAAGCTGATGAGGTGGTGGTGTTGCGGAAACACCTGAAAAGGCCGTCACCAAAACCAATAGTTGCGAGCTATTGGCATAACAAGGAGAAACAAGGAGAAACTCATTACACTCCCTCTCTTGTAAGCATCAGTTCTGTGTCTGCGTGCTCGTGAACAACGAACAAGCAAGCTGTGCAGCATCTCCAAAGGAGACTTACAGCTCCAATTGCGGAACCAAACATCATGGCCGTCATTGGTAGCCAAGAGAGCTGCGTCATCCACTCAGGGAGAAGAGGGATCGAGTGAATAGACCGCAACTCCTTCCAAAGGGCTTACGGACGATTCGGGGTGACTATCGACCTCCAGGGCCAGGGCGGGCGTCTCCCATTAGAGGGAGACAAACATTGACCTCATGGATGGACGGTGACGCTACTGGCATCGCGCACGCATCTTTGAGTTGGCTGGCGATCGAAGCGTCTTCATCATACAGTACGACAAGATTGGCCGGAAGAGCCGGGGTAGAAGCCGAGAAGGAAGCAGAAAGAAGTTGGAAAGAAATCGTTGTTACATGGTGGCGTCTTCACGTCGGAACCTGACCCGGGATCCGCACGTTTTCGGGCATAAAGAGGTAGATCTCATGTGTAGCTGGCATGGGAGCAAAATGCTCGCAAGTAGCGCGCAAGCTGTAGCGAGACAAGCTCACAGTTCTATTGTCATCGCTTGAAGTGTCTTATGGAGTTGATCATGTTGGGTGACCTTGAGGGCTTGGTCTGATAACAGCAACGTTGGTTCCCAACTGCTGCCCTTTGCGAAGGAAAAGCAAAAGAGGAGCTGAGAGCTAATCAGGGCGAGCCGTGCCTCTTGGCCGCGGGCACTAATCACGCACTTCAAGGCCGTTGAACAATGTCGTCCAGAGCTTGGAGCCAGTACAAATAGCTACTAGTAGCGTGCCTCGGTGGAGAGAAGAGGAGGAGAGACTGGGCTAACAGGCCTTGATGTGGGTGTTAGTCGAGGTGCGTGATACGTGAGACAGCATCTGTGGCCGAGAGTCTGCTGAAGAAAGGCAGAGCAGAGCAAAAAGGGGGCACTCCTTGGACGGGATCGAAACTAGGTGGCCGTATTTCTTCAATAGGCCGGATTTAATGTTCCCTGGATGGGCTCCTGCTGTCAGGGCGTTGCCGTGAGACAAGACATCGACATCGACATCGACATGGGCCTCTTCTTTTCTCGTCTCCCCCGCAAATGCTCTGCAGATGACGACCTGAGGCTCGATGGACGCAGGGAGGATGAGACTCACGAGAGCCTTGGCGAGGGAGCAAGAGCAAAAGGGCCGTGGATGAGGAACACGCATGGTCATTTATGTTCTGCATGCGGCACAGTGTTGAGAGAGGCCTGAGCATCTGATCAAGGCGGCAGAGACAGCAAACAGGGCGCAATCCGTACTGTAGGCTCCGCTGTTTTTTGTTTCCTCATGGCCCTGCTGCAGGGCGCGAGACGAGAGTAAAGTGCTTGCAGCTGGAGAAACAAGAACGCTGAGAGGACACGAGGCGGGTTTGCGGGGGAGGCAGTGAACAATAAGCGACAAGACGAGGTTCAGTTCGGCTTCATTTCACAATTTGCAAGTGATTTCTGTTTGCTGCGCAGGTACCTGCTACCGGCCGGCCCATGACGCGTCGTGCTCTTGGGCACTGGACGAGCCCGTACCAGTACCTGGCGGTGCGAAGAAAAGAACCTGCTGCGTGAATCAGCAAACAGGCGCTCATTTCACTAACGCTCCTCCTTCTATTACTCGTACCGTGCCTCGCTCGCCGCATTGGGATTCTCAGCGGAAGAGGCCGTGCGGATTAGCAGCGCGACACAGTACGTCTCTTCTCTTTTCCAAGTACCCCTGCTGTAGCGCCTCTTCATGCAAATGCGTGTATGTGCTGTTTCACGCAGTTTAGACGCAGCCGGCAGCGCAGCCGGTACCCACGCAGTACCCACGCGGTACATGCGCCAGCCCCGTCCGCCAGAATGTTCGCCGCATCCGGCCACCGCTAAACCCCTGCCCCAGGGCAGCAGAGAAGCTGGACGGGGCCCCTCTCCAGGCCTTTTCAGCGCCCCCTAAACCAAGAGGCCCCCCCCTGGTCGCTGAACACAGCATGTGGTGTTCTGCGCTGAAGTTTTTTTCTTCCTCTCTGCGATGCCGCCCAAACAACGTTCCCACTCGCACGGTGCCCGACGTTTCTAGGCCCTTGGACCCTCTCCCGCTGCCAGTGTCTCTAGTGCCTGAAGGGTCCCTCCAGAACGCCAGCGCTAGCACCAAGAAGTGCCAGCCCCTGCCACAGGCACCGTCCAGCGCTCTCATAATTACTTGCGCCTCGCCCTCCCGCTCTCGCACTCCAAGTTCCTGCAACAACAACAACATTCTTATTCTTTATTCCTAGCGAATATCTATTCACCACACACGGCTGCTGCCATCCGGAACCAAGTATCTACTGCTGCTACACGCAATATCACTCGTTCTTAATTTAAACTGCCATCTGAACTGCGTTCATTCACTCGCTTCTCATCAACTCTGTTTGTCAACTCGCGCGCGCGCGTCCACCACATCCAACAACCAGCAATAACAGCCACAACAACGCATTTGACGGGCTTTGACGCGCGCAATTCCCAAAGACGCTTCTCGCGAGAAGTCTGTCATCACATTCACCAGCCATCTTCAACACCAGTCCGCGAAGAGAAATCACCACACCACGCTCAGCCATCATGCTCCTCCCATCCGCCTTCTCTTGCGACGGCTCGCAAGCCGCGCCCACAACCAGATCACACGCTGGTCGCTTCGTATCACCGCCCTCCAGTCCTACGACGCTGTCGGCGCAGTACTCCATCGACAACATCATGAACACCTGCCGCTCTCTCCAGTCTCTCATCACCATGACCGCCTCCAACAACGACCACGGCGCGCTTGCGCCCGCGCCCACCCTGACTCAACTCCCCACGCCGCCTCTCGCATATGCTCCCACCCCCATGAAGCTGCGCCTCCGATCGCGTGGCAGCAAATCAGATGGCAAAGGCGACGAAACTCCCGTGACCAGGAGGAGGATCGCGAAGCGCACTCCTCCCGCTCCTCCCAGGGGCGCCAACAAACGCCGGCGCGAGCTTGACGACGACCTGGGGCGCAGCGATGAGGCCGACATGGACACTGAGGCCGAGCTGGACGCCGAGAGCCTACAAATGACACGCAGCTCATCCCCATCATCGTCACCACAAGCACCTTCAACACCCAAACGCGCTCGCATCTCCCCTGAGCAATTGCCCTTGGGACTCGAGCGCTCTGATTTCCACGACATCCACCTCTTGGAAGGCAGCGCCAACAGCAAAGACTGTGAAAACCCAGGAACCGACCTCCAGGTTGAGGCGGACGGCTCAGAATGGAGCCTTGAAGACGACCGCGTCCTCGTCGAACTGGTGCTCGAGAAGCTGAGGCTGTCCAAGACGGAATGGCAAGACTGCGCGCGCAGCCTGGGCAAAGACAGGCACAGCGTCGGCCGGCGCTGGAAGAGCCTCATGACGAATGGCGACGTTGGCGTCAAGACGAGAAGTCGACGAGCAAGACTGCACTCTACCTGGCGATGAGTTTCCAACATTGCACAATCTTTTACCATCTTTCCTTTTACCAATCCTTTCACTTTTTTTCTTCTCTGTATCTTTGTGGAAAAGAGGCGTTGGCCTCTGATCAAGCTAAGCGGTGTATTATCTTATTAATATGTCTGTCTGTCCTTTTTGATACTACCAACCTAACTTATAACTGGTCTTATTTTTCCTTTGTCTGGTCAACAACAACAACAACAATATCCCCTTGGCTTCCGATTTTGAGCCAAGGTGTGTACCAACACTTTTACCTGCTTGTCAATCTTGTCTACTACTTGTATCAGCGCGTCTATTTGTTGATTTTGTCTTTTATTCTGAAGCACTGGCGTCGAGGAGAAGGAAACACACAAAGAAAGGGAAAGGGAAAGTTTTTTTTTTGAAGTAGTTTTTGACTACTGATCTACCGATCTACCTACAGTGTAGACAAAATGTTGCTTGAGCATACATGTACTTTGGATTTTTGAGGAGGCATGCCGAATGGATTCTTTTAGATTTTCTGGCTCCCCATGGATATTTATTACTGGTATTACTACTACCACCACCACCACTACTTTTTTATTACTACTACTATTAGTACCTACTTGTTATTAACAAGAAGGGGAAACAAACAATATTACAAAACAATTTTAATACTTTACGCGGTTTCGTTTGCTTGTGTGACATATACCGACTTGACTGACGGTAAAGAGATGGAGGGAATTCATGCAAGGACTGTAGGATAAAAAAAAAAGGCCCGTCTACCTACCGCCTACTAATGCATCCTCTTTAACCATAAAGAAACCCCACGTGTTTGTGTGAAACAAAACTTGGCCCCCTCCCCCGGCTTTTGCAGCTTTTCGACGCCCTTTGTTGCATGTAGATGGCCCTTTTTAACTCAAGGGAGAGAAGTAGACCGGGGGGGGGGGGGGGGGGGGGGGGGGAATACAGATACAACTTTAGAAGAGAAGAAGACGAGACTATGGGATTAAACAGTACATCCCCAGACGCATTGAATCTGCCTTTTCAAACTTCCAGTTGTCTGTCCCCTTGGGTAAGATACGACATTGTCCATGAAATCTATCTGGGAAATAAATACAGACGTTTTTACAAGGAGATACAATTACTCTCGGGCCGTCTATATAGAAGGGAGTTTTTGACTTGTGCGGAAAAAAAAAGCTGGCTGTTTCTCCCGCCCTCCCTTTCACACACATCACCTGCCAATCTGACTATTTCCCAGCCATCTCTTGAGGAAGAGGCTGGATTATCTTGTCACATGGCCATAATTGAGTGACTAAAGTAGAGAGTAAAGAGGGAAAAAAAAATGGATGAGTGCCACTGTTCTCTCTCTCTCTCCTGCTCCCCCTCTGTTGATACAATTTATCAAAAGACATAGTAGAAGTAGGAGAAATGTATAGACAGATCTTCACATTTAATTCGCAAACGACATCAACGCACACAGCAAGCTCATCATGCTCATATTAACATCGTCATCTTGCTCTATATGTGTATTATCTACCATGCAACTCCACAATGCTGAGGTTTAGCCATTCATGTTTCCTCCTGTGGTCGCTTCCTTCCAACCTAACAGGCCCAAAAATACTACTCATTAAAAAAGGGAAGAAAGAAAAAAAGAAAAAGAAAAAAAAAAGGGTGGAATGGGGTAGTCTAGTGCCGGTCCATGTTGGTTATGCACCAATGATTTCCTTTGGCTCATGTCCATATCGTGATTTCATCATCCATGTATGCTTGGTTATGAGACCATCAATCGATGGACTGACATACGATAAAGAAAATGTTGAAATAAAGTACCAAAACAAGCTCAAATATGTCAACGCCATTGAATTTCGTTGTCCTTCCAAACACGTCCTCCAAGGTGCCTCTTTTGTAAAAAACAAAGCCGAAAAGACCAGACTGAATGCTCGGCAGTGGCTAAAATGGGCTGCGCTGTCCGTCCTACGGGGGTGTCATTTGCTCTTCCATCATCTTGCGCACTTCCTGCTCGAGATTCTTGCTCGCCTCCGCAGCGGATTCTTCAATCACGCCGGTAACCTTGTTTGCCAGCTCAATCTTCTTTTGACAGGCCTTGTAAATAAGCTCCTCGATGGTGTGTGTTGAGATGAGCCGGATCACCTCGACATCTCGCTTCTGTCCAAGACGGTGTGCGCGGTTCTCTGCCTGGATGTCGTCTTGAGGGTTGTCCGACTGGTCAAAGATGATGACCTTGTTGGCCGACGTTAGGTTGATGCCGGTACCACCCGCACCAGTGGTCAGTAAAAACACAGGGATGCTAGAGTCTTGATTGAATTCATCAATCAGTGTCTGTCGGTCAGCCACATTAGTGCTGCCTGCGAGCACGCGGTGGTCAATGTCTTGATGCGCAAGCACTTCTTGTAAAATCTCAATGATTCGAGAAAATTTGCTGAAAACCAGGACGCGGTCGCCGTTCTTCTGGTATTGTTCAATCAGCTCCATGAGCTTTCCGACTTTTCCACTTTCGACTTTTGTTGTTGGCGCAATATCGAATTGCTTCAGCAAGCGGGGATAGTCGCGACACCAAAGATGAAGCTCAAAGTCTGACGAATTTTTCAGCTCCTGAATAAGATGTTTGATATCAGGTTGATGGAGTTCGGACTGATCGACCCGATCCATTAATATCTTGGCCATCTCCGTAACCTTTTTGTCTGTGAAATGGCGGCGGAAGAGCAGAGGATGCAAAGCTGCTTTCCGCAGCTGTATCCACACGTTGTTCTGATCGTTTTGCCGGCCGCGAGATTCCCTTGCGCCGCGTTGGGATGGCTCCATTTTGAATAGTTCTTCGTATTCATCGTATACTCCCTTTTGCGCTTCAGGCATGTCGCAGTGAACGACGGTACAGATCTTGCGAGGCATGTCAGACAATACCTGGTCTTTGCGACGTTGGAGGATAAAAGGCTCGAGAATTGTCCTCGCACGCTTGACCCGTTCACTATACAGGAAAGCGCCATTGGTAACATCGCGAATCGTGACTTTTTGACTAAAGATGTATCTGATTTGGTTCATATAACCATCAAAGAGCCTGGGATTGATGAAATTTAGAAGCGCGGTCATCTCCAGCAGGTTATTCTGAACAGGAGTGCCTGTGTTATTATATCATGTTAGCAAACTCCTGTTGTCCTTTTCTCTTCTCATGAGATATGCCACGGGCATTTAATATGCCTGGCAATTACCACTTACCCGTAAGAAGCATCTTCCAAGCAGACGGGATTCTGCGAAGATCCTTGTAAGTCTTTGTCTCCGGGTTCTTCATCTTGTGTCCCTCATCAAATATGGCAGCGTTAAGGTCGAATGACTGCATAGCTCCGATATCCTCTTCGGAATTAATCTGTGAGTATGTCGCCAGGACAACGTGATAGCCTTCGGGATCTTGCTCAACCGCGTAGGCAATCTCCATTCGCTCCGTTTGAGACCCTCGATATCCTATCACTGATAACTCTGGCGCAAACTTCTTAAATTCGCCAAGCCAGTTGTTGTATGTGCTAGGAGGCACCACAATCAGATTTGGCCACGGCCGTCTTCCTTGAGGACTGCTCTCGTACTCCTCAACAAGGTGACACATGAATGAAATCACCTGGCAGGTCTTGCCGAGACCCATCTCGTCGGCTAGGATACAGCCAATGTCGTTGTTGTAGAGGACTGACATCCAGTTTAAGCCGTAAACCTGAAAGGGTCTCATAACACAGTGGCCATCCATCATCTGTGGCTGACTAGGAATCGGCGGTTTTGAAAGTTTGGTAGTACTCAAGCTGGTCGGTGTCGGAGGGGCGTCATCTTCAGAGGGAGTCGATCGTGCGCTGTGTCTGTTCCGACCAAACATGTTGATATCCCACGTCTCCAACACGCCTTTGATTGCCTGGCCCTTGGCCTCGCATTTCGTCACGACCTGATCAATGGCTGTCACTGCGTCCATGAATATCTGAATGGCATCCACAACTGTCTCTCCAATACTGATTCGAGCAGATTTACGAACACCTGGCTTCTTGTTGACACTGACTTTCCTGGCCTGCATCAGGTCGTAAAAGGGTCGCTTAGCGATGATTGGTTTGAGCAAGTCCTCTTTCATGCCCGTTATGGCGGCTAGCTCTTGAGAGGTACTTTCGTTGATGCAGGCAAGCACCTTGTCATCAGTTTCCCCTGATGGCTCTGGCGATTCTTCTGCTTGGTAGGTATCCTCCCTCCCGTCGTCCACCAAGTCTATAACCAGCGGATCGTCGCTCGAGGCCGGTGCCGGTGCCGGTACTTCTTCTACTTCTGGCTCAGGCTCTGGTGATGTGGATGCTCGTCTCTTTAGGCCTTTCATGAGTCGGCGCCTCGGTGGCGGAGGCTGTGGTCTGGGAGGGCTTGACGGGAGTGAGGCGACTGAAGCGACTGAAGGCGAGGGCGACCGCGACGGGGCCCTGGAAAGAGAAATCATTTGTCCCTTGGTTACCAGTCGCCGAGTGCCAGATGGTGTAGACTTTGCAGGCTTTGCGTTTGCGGGCTTGGGCGCGGGTTGCGAAGTTCGGGTCTGAGCCGAGCGCGGCACATTGCGTTCTAGCCACGCAATCGCATCATCCAGGTCGTTTCCGCAACTCCGAAGGGCCTCTCGAACCTTGTGCGACGGGAATCTATCGCCAAAAACGTCGAATATTTGCCGCAGCCGCTTGGTCATCTCTTGCTCGTCAATCGGCTTGTATGCAAACGCTGCAATCTGGGTTTTGAACGTCGTCGGACGGATGTTGCCTCGCGGAGGGGTAATGTCGTCTTCATCGTCGGAAATGAGATTGATCGGCTCTGGAGTCGGTCTCTTCGCGGGAGCGGCCTGTGTCTGGGGAGGTGGGCGAAAGACTGTACCGGCTGGTGCCAGGCGGGAGCCCAATCGCGTCTGCTGCAGCTTCGGCTGGAACGGTGACGAGGCGGGCACTTCGACCACGCTCGCTGCTGGGGACGAGGATCGGACCATGGCGAGTCCAGGGCGACTGAGCACCTGCGTCGGTTGAGTGGTCTCGCCGTCCTTGAGGAAGACGGATGGCGAGCACGGTATGGTGTCTCCCGCAAGTTCATCCATGTCGTCGTGCGGTCGTCCCTGTCTGAGAGAAGGCGTTCGAGGCACAATGCCCAATTGTGAAATCGGCGGTAGTGGAGACGAGCTGCGAGCCATGATAAGAGCAAGAGAAGAAGAGGGGAGAAGTAAAGCCGTCAGGGAAAAGAGGTGTGGAGAGGGGGTGCTTTATAAAAAGCAGAGGAGCAAATTAGTGAGGGAAACGACAGCGGAAAGTGACAGCTCTTTGTTCTAGAAGCGCAAAGGGGTTGAAAAAAAAAGGCTCTTGTCTTTCCGCTGGCGATCTAATGCAAAGCCGAAATGAAAGTGAGACGGAATTGAGGAACAACAAAAAGAAAAAAGGAATCTAAGTCTAATGAACCCAAAAAGGAAAGGAAAAAAAGAGAAAGAGGAAACCCCAAAAGTTTAAAAATCCCAAGAGCCCCCGCTTGCCAAATATTTCGGATCTCAAGTGACGTAGATAAGGTATAGATCGTGTCCCGAAATAAAAAGAAAGAGGTTAATCCGCAGCGGGTGCTGGGGAGGAGCGCCGCAGCAGCAGAATTGTGGCCCTTTTTTGCCTTTTGAAATAAATTTTCGTGACGATCCGGAGACGCGCCGTAGTGAGAAGACCAGAGTCGCGAAGTCACATGACCACTTTATGCTTGATCTGGGGTGGCTGAAAGATGGAGCAAGGTAGAGCTTAGGAGGACAACATCGCCTCTTTTAGGTAAAAGCCGTGACGACAGAATTCGAAGCTCTCGACAAAGAGAATAGGAAAGAACAAGAAACAAAGACGAGGCTCAAGATAGACAAGATCCCGGAAGCAGACGAGAGCAACAGACCCCCGTTTCATTTCACAGTCCCTAGCGTCCGTAGCTGGGACCCTCTTGTGGCGAGAGCTCCATCGAGCTCATCTCATCTGGCACTACTTATTCTCATCCTGCTTCAGCGCCATCAACCCACACAGAAAGCCTTCAGCCATCATCCCCTTTGTCTCGACATCATCAACAATGGCTACTCGCCGCATTGTCAACTCGGAAAAGACAATCCTGGAAAAGGACGATACCGCCGAGGAAAAGTCCAACATTAGCCCCGCTGTCCCAAAGTGAGCTCACCCTTCAACTCTCACAGCCTCTTTTCACTCCTTCTATATCCAATTGGCTGTGACAATCTATTTCAAATGCAAAACTTCTAATTACTTCTCACCAGGGATGTCATTTTCAAGCTTCTCGGCTTCTCAGCTGCCATGATTATCGTCCCTATCGGCTCGTACTTTGCAACCGTGCATACAGTCTTTAAAGGTAAGATGCTGTCCATATATGCCATCCATATATGCAAGTTAGCCAGACTTGACTGATTACTTTGTAGGAAATTCATCGCTGGCCGGTGGTATGGCTGCTGTTCTGGCCAATGTAGTGCTCATTTCATACATAATTGTAGCAATGAAGGAGGATCAAACAGAGTCCAAACCTGAGAGCAAAAAGACACAGTAAATAGCAATGTACAGCAACGCCATGATTGTTTTATTATCACATTTTCCAAGTTAAGAAGCAGAAGCAGAAGCAGAAGCAGCAGCTTGTTTCCAAATAGACAGGAAAGAGGGAATGAGAAAGAAGACAGGCAATATAATAAGCAAAAAAGATAAAACATGGCCTATTCATTATGTTTATAAAAGCTTGTCGCCACCTACAGGCCAGTCTTTGTAATCTCTCTTTCAGGCCACCACGTCTATATGCCACAATGAGCTTGGTAGTTGATAGTGGATGAAATGATTCAGCATCATTGCCATGAACAGATCCGTGCTCTTGTCCGGATCTAAAGCAGATTATTATTCTCCGCCAGAGCCAACGGCAGGGATTTATAGACACCACAAACGCCACATACAAAGCTTATCCGAGTATGTACCCATCCCTTTCCACAATGTCATGTGCTAAACGCTCCTAATATAGAGCTTCAAACAAATAAGTTTCCCAATGGATCATAAGAAGACGAACAAGCAAAAAATAAAAAAAATAACGACATCCGCCCACCCGTATACGTCTCTCCCCCTATGGCTCCTTAGTAAGGGCGTTATTATAAGCAACACTCTTGATGAAATACACGGAATCTTTCTGCCGCCCCTCTCGGAAAATAAGAAAAGAAACCAATCGTGAAAAAACGTAATGAAGCATGAAGCTTTTCCCATGCGCAAAAATGAGGGAATGTAGTAGAAGGAGTCAGGCCAAGGAAAATGTACAAAGGAAAATGCGAAGGAATGTTGAAACGGGTATTGGGGTATTGACTTTTTTCTTTCCAGAAGACTTTAGGAATTTTTGCTGAATCGGCGGGAAAACCAGCTCTTTCGCTTTTCTCCTCCCGACGGTGTCGTGGAAACCTGCCTCTTAAGCGTTGAAACCTGCTTTCTTGGTATGGTCGGGAGAGGATTTTGGTAGCTCGCGTTTGGAGGTGTGGGTAGACTGTGGCCCTTTGTAGGAGGCGACAAGTTCACCGTCAGGGCCGGAGTCTTGTAAGACTCGGACTGGCTGAAATTGATATCATACTTGTTCGCGCGCTCGTCTGCGTGCTTGGCGGGAGAGGCCCGATGAATGGAGCTGTTATCGCTGCTAGTAGGATCGGTCTGATAGCCCGCAGGATCGGAATTGCCGCTGGCAGCTGCAGATGTCACGGTCTCATATGAGCGGTCTTTGTGAGGTAAAGGATAGACGTTTTGCTCTCGACCGTAGGGTCGAAGGTGAGAATCGGAGGGCATCTTTGGTGCGCGCTCACGCGATGGTCGTCCATGGCCCACCTGGTTTCGGTTGTAGCCACTGGGGCCTGCGTTTGCGGTGTAATAGCCTCCATTGTTGTTGCTATAGTTTTGGATGTCATTGTAACTGTTCCTCCCTGAAGCTGGACCGGGTGCTTCATACTGGCTACCGTGGAAAGAAGCCGCACGACTGCTATAGTAGTTATCTTGGGGAAATCGTGGTTGGTTTGCTAATATTGCGAAGCAGGGTGTTAGAATAACCGGGGGAAAAGAAAACTTAAAAAAACGACTACTGCGACCAACTTACGTCTATAGTAGCTGTTCCGACGGCTAAAGTTTGCTGAAGGGTCTGTGTCTAAAAATAAGCAAGAATGTTAGCTCTAATATGCCTCTAGACAGAAAAAGGTTCTCCAGAAGTAAAACTTACCTGAGCGATACATGGACCTACGCGCATAATCGCCTTCAATCGCCGCTTCAAAGCTTCGGATGGTATCGAGAGGACGCTCCCAGCGGTTGCGAGTCGGATTAGACAAATCAGGATCGGCTAAAAAGAAAGCAGATGTTAGCAACAGCTGCCATTGAGGTCTGTTTGAGAAACACGTACCAATTACGTTGCCGTATGCGTCTTTGTGTTGAATGGCGCGCAGCGGAGAGAGTGATGTGGCTGCCATCACGGCTTCGACAGCTATTTCACCTCGAGTCAATATATACGCGCGAAAACAAGGGACTGGGCGAGCAGATGGGCCAGGCGCGACATCGAGAAAAGGGCAACATACATGGCTCCGCTTCGTTCATGGCCAACGTGGGATCGGCCTTGCTGTGGAGGCGTCTAGAATCCTTTTCAGCGTGCGTTTCGTGCAGGTCGATCTTGTTGGTGACGCTGTTCTTGCGACCTTTGTCGGAGAGGAAGCTGAAGCGATTCGAATTGGACCGCGGCTGTTGCTCCGACTGGGAGGCGGCCTGCTGAGTAGGCGTTGGGAGAGGGCGCTCCTTGTTTGCGGGAGCCGCCATGGTGAATCTGGGACCGGAGTTTCTTTATCTTAAGCTGGACGAGATAGCTGGGGCTCTGTGACGGCGGTGCCCAGGGCACTCGGCACGGTCGTGGGGATCGAGCGATCAGTGCGGGTCGCAAAGATGTGGATGGTAATCTTGCTGGACTAAGAGGAGTCCTCTCGTCGTACAGTCGTACTAGTAATAGCAGGAGTAATTAATGTTACGGGGGGGGGACCTGGCCCAAGCACAAACGGGGCGGGCACGGCTCGACGGCAACGCGAGTCGAAACAATGCGAGAGGGAGAGGCGCGAGCAGCTGCGGCGCAGAGTCCAAAAAGAAGCGAGAGGCAGCAGACGCAATTCCTCAGAAAAGAAAGTCGTGATGGTGTTGAGGAAGCTCTGGCGGGGACTGGGGAGAGAAAAGAGGTTGGCGGCACAGAGGCTTGGGGGCAAGGCGGACGATGTTTTCGGAGCCTTTGGCTATCAGGAAGTGGAACTGGACGGCCTGTAAGAAGCTGTCGCCCAGCGGCTTGTGGTGCCAGAGCTGCGTGGCAGTGGGTGACGATACAGGCAGAGCCTTAGTGCGAGCAGCTAGCAGAGGCGACAGGCCAGGGGGGCGTGTGCGCAGTGCTGCAGTCTAGAGTAGAACCAGAGGGCTCCGTGCGACCTGGAGTTGCAGTGCTGGTATGGCGGGTATGGCTGGTATGGCGCCGTACCGTACTTGTACATGCATCCAGGGCCAAGGAGCCAAGGACCAGTTCCCGCTGGAGGCTGGGCCTGTGACAGGGCTCAGAACGCGGCGTGACGTTTGCACAAGAAAGCACGAGCTCTCAGCCAAACGGTTTGGCGGTGCAGGGCTGTTTGTGCCAGGGGGCAGAGGATAAGGACGAGGACGAGGAAAGGGGGAGGAGGAAGAAACGGGGAGAAGGAGGAGGTGAACCGGAGGGAAAAGACAGAAGGCGAGGTGGCGAGCCCGATGATGCTGCCGCTGCCGCTGCTTGTCGCTCTGATGAAAACGACGTTGAAGATCAGCCTATGAGCTGTAGCGTGTCGTTGCAAACAAACAAGCTCGTGTGGCTGAGCTAAGCTTAAGCTGAATGGGTGCCACAGCTTGCTCTCGTTGCTGCCTTTCGATGTCCCGTCTTTTTTGTTTTCGAATCCAAGGCGGACTATTTTCTTTTACTTGTATCTTCTTCTTCTTCTGCCTTGAGCTTCTCCGTCTATCTCGTTTACGCTTTGATTCCCACTTGTCCAAGAGCGAGCGAATTAAACGTGCGCGGAAGGTCTTGTCCTTCTGCCCTGCCGCTTACGCCTTTGGTGTTACAGCCGCGAAAACGTGAACGTTGCTCCCAGAACGGGGTGTGGCCAGTGAAAAGTGTGGCTGGTGTCGTCCTAGTAACATCAATCGGCCGTGAGCTGACGTCAATTGTTCTTTGTTCCTCCGTTAGGCTTCTTCTGTCACGGGCTGTTTGAGCTTGAACAGCGTGGCCTAGCCCAGGGGGGGTTGGTTGGTCTGGATGGCGGCGCCTAGAAATAGCCGAGCGATGTAGCTTGGAAGAAGAAGAAGGGAGAAAAAAAAAAAAAAAAAAGACCAGCAGTCCTTGAAGCGTGGCCTAGCTTGCTTGATTTTTCCTCTGCGGCAGATGCGCCGACCACGCGATGCGCTGAACAGGCCGAGACGCTGCACACCACCACGGCGCTACAGCAGGTGCGAAACCAGGATGGACCTCGCAGCTGGCCTCTTAGCTGGCGATACGAAGCTCCTGGAACTGGTCTGCCGGCCGGCCCCCTGCTGCGCTCCACTGACGGCTTTCTGGACGAGCGACGATGACACAACCGCTCACAGTCTCAAACCGCATGCGGTTGTGTTTTTTGAATAGTTAATATAAACAAGTGGAGAGTGCAGGGTGTGCGCTGCGAATGTGTGTGTCTTGGCGCCACTTAGGGCGAGGAATCGAGATGCGCGGCTGCGACGAGACAGAAGAGTATAGAGGGAAAAAAAAAGATTAATTGGGAAAAAAAAAAGATGGATGTAAGAAGACGGATGAAGATAGGAATGGATATGTGCGAATGGTGCAGGCGAATCCAGTGCAAGTGCGCGCTATCAGCCGATTGCCAACCCCAGTCAATACGAGCCGTAAAGAGGTGATGGAAACGAGATGTGAGAGAAGGAAACAGAGGTGTATAAGAGCAGATATTTTTACAATGCAAAGAGTCTCGATGCTGGGTAGGATCGGGCAGATCAAAGCGAGCCTGGACAGAGGATGGAGGATGAGGATGCGCCGTATTGCTGGCTGAATACGAGGTCTGGCGGCAAAACCCAGAGGACGGGCTACGGGTCCGCTATAGGTACAAAGCACAGCATCTGCGATGTGGGCGCCGCAGCAAATAGACGCAGCAATATTCGGGCTCTAGATGCGCCCTCGCTGAGAGACAAAACAGCAAGCGAGCGCCGCTACGAACGCCATGATACCCACAGCGTGGCGTGGCCAAGACAGATGATGGCCGTCTGTCTGGCTGTGAAACTTGCGATCAACAGGTGCGACGAGCTGGAGGGCCCAAGCTGGAGCTGCGTGAGTCGCAATCTTCTTGGCATCGCATTGTCTCTGCCGCACAATTTTTCTGGTTTCGAATTGCTACTATAGATTCTTCTACCAGACAGCGACAGCAACATGGAGAGCAGCAGCAGCAGCAAAACGAGAACGGACGTCGACTTGCCAATCAATGAATATAGTTTCGACCTGTCTTTCTGGGCTTATACAATGATAACGCCGCGGTGATATCCGCGCAGTCCGCCTCAGCCACAGTGATTTACCAGGTACCTGCCGTTGACGCCTTGGACTTGCCCAGTCTGGCCAGTTTACGGAGTTTTATGGAGTGCCGATTATGTACAGGTACCAGGGCAAGCTCGCAAGCTCCAGCTGTTTTTTTTTTCTTTCGAACTCGGCCAATTCCCTTGGCCCTGGCCCTGGGCCTTGACGGCGCCACCGCGACGGCGGCTTTTGGCTGTCTCTGCTTGCACTCATATACCTAGGTACTGGGTGTAAATCCAGGCAAAGGAAATGAAGCTGCCGCATGTGATTCTACAAGCTGCACAGGGAAGCAGCACCAGTGCTACACTGATGGCAGCACTTGGTGTTCATACAGATACGATATGCCACAGCACAGGCTGCCGCGCGTTGCTTTGGGCTGATCCTTTTCTTGCAAACCGCAATCGTCGACAAATCTGGCTGGGAAGTGCTGGGAAGTGCCGGGATAGGCAGCTGGGGCGGGGATCTGATGGACCTGGAGCCAAACTCTAATGGAAGAGCTATTGATCTCCGCGATATGCCACCGAGCCATCAACGTTTGCCATCTCGACTCTCTTTTCGTCTCTTCGTCTTTTTTCGTCTTTTCTAGACTTTTGCGGCTGGCCAATGGCTTGACCCCGCGTCTTTCCCTCCTGCTTCTCCATAACGCGCTCAGCCGGATACATGGCAATTTAAACTTAAATCGACTGTAACACGCGCTCGTGCGTTTGATCCAAGACAACGGCTGTGGACAGGCGGTGGCGGTTTCGACGCAATGGCAAACCGGCTCCAGCTTGCATTGCCATGACGCGGGCCAGACATGCATATGTACACACAACATACTTGTACAGGCGCTACATGCAGTGCGACGAGTACAGTACAGGTACTTTGGCCCAGCTGCATGCCGCCGCAGGCTGTGTGACTTGCGCGGCAATATCCCCGTGCCGAACAGCCAAGGTGCTTACCGGCCTGGACGTGGACGGCATGCGCTGAATGCATGTATCGCATGTATCGCATGTTCCTGGACAAGCGTCGGGGCCGGGCTTCGTGTTCTGGACTTGCACACCCTCTTTGCTTTTCCCGCAACCTTGCAAGCGACCTCTAGCCTCCTCTGCCAGGCCGCATGGAGTAAACATGGCAAACATTGATACCTGGGTATCGTATATCTTACTTCCCCTCCATCCACAATACTGGCAATGGTGGCCAAACTGGTGCGTGCTAGTACCAGATCGTGTTCTTGGCGAATCATCGCATTGCAAGTACGGGCTGCATCTGCCTAGTCCTGCTTCTCCTTCCGTCATCCCGTTCTCGCAATTCCACTGACGCAGTAATTAATTGCCCGAGTGGGATGGCCATCGTCTGCTGATGAGAGACAAAATAAGAAAAACAGGAACAATCAAAACAATCTAGAAAGATAAGACAATTCATGCGCGCAAGACTAATACCAAGCATGCAGACGCTGATTCGACCGCTGGGTATGAAACTAGCTGGGGCCTAATCCCAATCCTTTTGTTGCTCTCGATTTTTTTTTTCCATTGACGTATTTACACCTCATCGTGCTGCAAGACTAACCGGGGTGAGCTGTTCCGTTCAGGGGCATCTAGTACTGTTTTTTTTTTTTTCGCTTTGGCTCATCGATTTTCTGGTCGCTCCTCCAGCAGATAATCGAATTGGCTGCCGGCAGAGATGATTTGCCAGCCCTTGTTGTTCCCCGGCATAATGCAATTGTCATGTTTACGACATGCTGCATTTCCTCCGAAGCCCAACGGCACCAGCATCGACAATAGGCGATCAGCGCCGAGGGCAAGGGAGGCCTTGTGACTGCGTATTTAGCAATGTCTCAATCCTTTTTCAATGCCCGAGACAAGAGGGTAGCGTCGATCATTCTGTAAGACTCGTATCATACAGTATTGTAAACAAGCAGCTCGTACTCGTAGCTCTTGCTATTAGCAGTAGAATTCAAGAGCAAAGCTCTTCTGTTGGTTGGTTCATGGGCTGCCTCGGAAGAGCTAGTCAACGACCTCTTTTCTTTCCCCTCCATCTCTCTTCTTCCTATCTTTCTGGAGAATCCTGGCAATCGGCGCGCCGTGGTTGGTTACTAGCATGCAAAGCCGTGGGACTAACACGCCCAGGCACTTGACGATGCTATTCTTGTTTTCGCCTGGAATGCGGTTTACCGGTTCTTCGGTATTCTGCCTTTCGAGCCACCTCCTTACGTGGCGGAATGCTTTCTTACGGCGCGCCCTGATGTTCCTGATTACCTGATTGATTTCTTGCTTTCTGTTTCGTTGAAAGATATTAGAGGTATAACAGTAAGATTATGAGGCGTTCTCTGTAGCAATAAGCTCTTGCTTTAATGGCCAATACCATTGTCAAAACACCACAGTTGAAATCAAGAATACAGTTGCTACCCAACTTACTGCCATTCAATAAGAGCTAAGAATAGCTAAGATTCTAAGAATACGACCCCGGGAAAACAAACTATAAAAAACAAGGTCGTAGACGTAGACACTTCGTACAAGGAGTGTGATTTGCATCGACGCATACGCCACACAAGAGCTCCTATTCCGAGCCTCCCGGGCATTTTGGCCTAGCTGTGTTGCTTCCGCTAGGTATCTTCGGCATATGAGAAAGAGTGGCATGCATTTTTACCAGGTAGTGTAGTATTTAGGCAGATTGTGGTAGGTATGAACTTGGGGAGAGGGGAGGGGAAAGGAAGGGAAATTTGCAGGGATCACGTCTGTTTTTTTCCCTTTTGTCCAATCCGCCGGCGTCGTTTGGAGACGTGGGATGGCGTGGCTTGCAGCTGCGTGGCTGCGTGACCTTGGGGCAAGAGGGGGCTGGTTAATGGCGCTTTATTTCTGTGGCTGGTTTGTTTGATTGTGCGTGTTTTTGATAGATGAGCTTATCATTCTTTTTTTTTTTTTTGATGCCGTGTTACGTGCAGCTAAGAAGGCCGTTCTATGATATTGATGAGACATTGGATTGGCTGGTATGACTGAGACTTGCATCACTGCTTATACTGGGTATGAGGAATGGTTCACACTGGCGTCAGGCACTGTAAGTGAGGGAGGTATGTATACATGTATCGACTTCAATGTCTTATCATTACGCGTTAAATGCATTCCTTTCGTTTGATAAGGTGTTGCTGCACACACCCTTTGCCACTGTAAAATTAGAATCAGATGGGTAGTTGGTGGATTGGCCACTCGCCGTATGGGCATCTATAACCCGAGTCTGCGAGTACTATGCTGGGGCAGCGGCTTTGCGGCAAAGCGCACAAGTGAGTAGAATGAATTGCCAGTGACGCCAGGAAGTCGTAAAATGTAGATTTCGCAATTGACAATTGATATTTGCCCTATGGGTGGGACCATGAATGCGTACGCGTATCTCCATACTTTTTTCGGTTTCTGGCGTTTTGCTACGTCTTAGCTGTGCTTGATGTCACGATGTATAAGGTATGCGCTGGTGTGATGAAGATGGTATATACTCATTATCAAAGAAACAGTCTTTGATAAGGATTATCTTGTTTTCTATAGAAGCTCCTCTCTATCGCCTTAAGCAATGGCTCAGCTTAACATACGAAATAAATCGGAATCGAACCGACATCCATTTCCGCGACAAGTAAAACGAATTAATTATAACCAAACCATAATGAGAAAGAAAAAAAAAAATACATGATTGGAAACATTCACATGTTTGGCTCTAATTAAAGACAGGTAAATTCATGATATCTACTAGAGTGCTAGGTAGTATTTGACTGCGCCCTTGATAGACTCACCATTCAAGTTCACATTAATTGGTAATAAAAGTTCTGACTACCTCCCTGAATATGTTTCCTTTGATATGGTGGACAAAAAACTGAAGTAAGCGGAATGAAAAGATATTCTTTACATCGCATCAATGTTAATCATAGACATGCCATTTGAGTGCAAGTGTTTGATAGTCTTGTAAATGTAGCCTAGGTAGCACATTGTGATCGTTTCTGTCTGTCAGTGCATCTTCAGTCAATTTGTTCAGTCGATTTACTCTTAACATATGTTATCGCATAAGGATGTGATTGAGAGGTCTGGCTTCATTATCAACTGACACTGAACCAAGTACTATAAAGAAGCTTCCCGCTGTTATCATGTAAAACGTCATCCTAATTCGCCCGCTCTTTTATATCCTACGTTGCTCCCTCGTAAGTGAATAGTTTGATTCCGTATATATATGTGTGTGTATGTAAACAGTTTGGCAATTTTCACATGAAAAGAAGAAACAAGCAGTTAGATACATAATGCAGCACGTACATGAAATTGGTATCTGTTGCCCTCTCTTGCAATGGAGGAGTCTCATAGTTGCCTGCAAGATGATTTTGGATGGTACGACGATTACCAGTTGATTGGTATATTTCGTTCATCTAATGACTCAAGTTTGTACATCAGTGCCAGTCTATAATCTTCCTTTGGGTACGTCATTTCAGTTTGGACGAAATAAACCATATTGGATATCAGGCTGCGCAATAGCAAGGTCATTTCATCTCCTTTCTAGGGCGATCAAAAGAGGCTTCATCACGGTAGGAATATTTGGAAGAATTGTGACCGATATAAGAGGCACAGCAGCATTAAAGTCGTAAGAATGAACCAACGATTGTCCTCTCTATACGAGAACGACCGCGGGCGGATGACTGGACAGTCAAACCGCGATGCAAATTCCATTAATGCCAATATAAAACAGTAAACAAGCAGGTATCGATCACGTTTCTCTGCCCTGTCGTGTATCATTTTTTCAATTTTTTTTCTTTAATGTGCAGTCCCTTCGAAATGCAACTCGTCATGAGATTGGCATTTTGCCTGCCGGAATGGATACACGAAAAAAAAGCCCACAGACCGAGTAACGAAACCGGCGCCAATTTTTGAGGAGACAGGAAAAAAAAAGAGAAGAAGAATTGGTCTGCCAGAGCCTCAGTTCGTTTCGTTTCGAATCTCCATTCTGCAATTCGCCAAAAATTTTCTGCCACATACGTCAAAAGTCACAGATGCCCAGGTTTTCTCTCTGCATCCTTCGGAAAGTTGGGAATTTGACGTCTTTTTCAATTGAAATGCCTCAAAGCAAGGCGATATGCTTTATTCCTTGCCTCGACCCATGCAACCAAATGAGAACCGCCCTCACTACCAACTCCATTCCGAAATCCGATTTAAATCGACGAGGGGTACAACATGATACGAACGGAAGCGCCGAAGGACTTTGAGGGGAGGGGCTTGGCGAACTTGGCGCGGACAACGCCAGAGTTACCTGGTTGAAGAGCGTTAGCTGGATCCTTTCGCAGACTGTTTGGAGCGAGAGCAGTTATTATGTACCGTGTGGTCGGGTAACCTTGCCCCAGATCACGCGGATCTTGGTGCCGCGGATCTCCTTCTGGCCTCGGTAGACATAGGCGATCTTCTTGCCAGCATAGAAGCTATTGCGTCGGAATTAGTTTTCTGAAGCCCTCCAAACGCCACTTTTTTGAGAAGTCGCAAAAACCTACTTGGCAGCGGCTGTGTTGTCAACACCCTCGATCTTGATCAGGCTGGTGCCAGGGTGGGTGATGTTACGAGAGCGCTGGTAGCTCAGGTGACGTCCCCTATCATCATTCTCCGTTAGTTAAACGTTCGGATTGATTCGGGTTTCATTTCAAGCAGTCGTGGGCGATTGTTCGCCGAAGAGGAACGAGTTTCGATACATGGTGGATAGATTCTCCTTGGGAGTCTCAAGCGCACCATTCCCTCCTCTGCTTCCTCCCATCTGCCCTGTTCGAAATGTCGCGATCGGCGTTTACTTACTTGACGTATACTGCATGAGAGTTAGTACAGTTTCAATGCCAAATCATCAGACTAGGTAGCATTCCAACTTACATCTGTGACCACTTTCGGAAGGCATCGTGACTGTTGTGTAGCTTCCGCCCTCTCAAGTAACCGAAATACTAAGAGGTCTGCTGCTCGTCGTTTGTCGTGATGTCGAACTGAGGGCAACGGGGTGGATGCGATATGGTGTGTGGTGGCTCTAGCACGAAAATTTGAGCCCTGGGGGATCACGTGTGGCCTTAGGGCAATTTGGGTTGTGTGTAGCGACCGTGGCTGAAGTGCACCTGCACCGCCTCAATTTTGAATATCGAGCCACAGTTCGCTTCTTCACTAAAGTGTTCTATGGACTAACCCGTTTTGGAGCAGCTTTAGGCTGTGCCGAGAACGGCGCATCTCTGAAGAATCTGGGTATTCTCTATTCCTCTCTAGCTAACTGGACTGAAATGATAGGCCTCTTCTTATCTTGGCTCCTCTAGTACCTCGAGAGATTTGGATCTTTTTGTGTCTGGCGCTTTGTAGCATGAGATCTGTCAGAGCTGTGAAATAGCATGTTCTCCTAGTCCGCTGAAACTATTCGTCAGCTTTTTTTTTTCTAGTCCTCGGTTACCTGGAGATGATCTTTGGCTATCATTTCGCATCCTTTGTCTCTTGTATCTCTCTTAGCTGCAGAATGCGCAAAGTGCCGGATTTATGCCAGTGGGATACTGCAATGCATGTACTGCTGTGAACAGTCAAGGGAGACCCTTTATCGTAAAAAAACTGCCGTCATCCAAGGGGCTAATATCAAGCCAAGAGGAAGAAAAGGCAGCGTAGAATTAAATTGTCTTTGGTCCCTGTAGCAGCATCGTTGCTCGGATAAAGTTTCCAAAGTTTCCAAAGTTCCAAGCATCAAAACCGCCGAGGCCCCCTTCACCATTCTAGCCCGGCCCGGTCTGGTCTCGGACGGCGCGGCGACTGATCAACCACAGGCCGTCTAAAAGTTCCCGGCTCCATGAGGGGGCCAGGCCGGGGCGAGCGAGCAGGAAACGGAAGCAGGCTTACCAATCCTCCTCGAAGCATCTGTATTACTCGCAGATGGACGCATTACTGTCCACTCCTTGGTCCACCAACTGCGGTGTTTGGAGGACTTATTGCGGCTCCAGCGGAAATAGCGAAACGCATTGACGGAATCCAGTAATTGTTGCACCTGACGTTGAATCAGGGTTGCCGCCGTGCGCAGGCAGGAGTTTACTCATTACCAAATGCAAGCTCTACTCGGAGGTCCGTAGCATCGCAACCACCAGCAGTCTGCTAGTCAGCTAAATGCTGGGCATTTATCCCTCGTTGCCATGTATGAATGCATCTGCGATCGAATCTTATCCATTATAAGCTAGCCATCTTCGCTGCAGATTTTTGTTTTCAGTGTCTCTGGAATCGAAGCCACAAGCCTTTGTTGTTAGTCGTCGTAGGATTTGATGGGCAATATAGCGCCCCGAGATTGAGTTGGGGTTTTAACTGTTGCTTCCATATATTCCGCTCCCAACCTTGATACTACCTAGTCCCAAGAACCGTGCTAGCAAGCTCAAGTCTGATTTGACCCCCAAAAAATAAACTCATTCGGGCAATAGGTAGGCCTAGGTAGTACTAATCGTCTCCAACTCGGTTTGCGGATAACCGCTCGGTACTCCGTCCGAAATAGGCATTCGGTGCATAGAATGCTACATGCACCTGGCGTAGCCACGGCGGTTACCGCTACAAATAATTTGGCTGGCAGTGATTAGGTACTTAGGTGGGCAGTACAGTATATGCCTCTATATAAGCTTTCAGTTGAAGTAATCGTAGGAAAGTGCTCGTTATCTGGGGTCAGTATCCGAAACTCTCCTGCGCGGAATTTGCCATGAATTTATGCTGCTGAGGCTCGTTGCCGCTGCCGTCATCTGAGTCTTTTATTTGTCTGGCAACTTGGCCAGCCCAAGGACACCATAGCATCATCGAGGAGCGGCAACTTCCACCGGTATAGACTCCAGCCGGGCAAATTACTAACCAGCTGGGATGGTGGAGATGACACTCTACATAGAGGAGCTCGGCGGGCTACATGGACGTGACTACAGCGGTGCAGGGCCCAGCTAGCAGCACGCCGTACCTTTGCAGATACTCCGAGCCTGATGATGACTTTACGGGGCGGCCCAGGTGCCTCAGCCATGGCGTCCACGGCACGAACGGAGGATGGGGGCGCTCTAAAAGGGCTAACAGCACCTGTTGCTCCAGGTAGAGCTCCAAACTCCGTCAGCGCTCTGTAACCCCGTCGCCTAAAAAACCAGCAGCCCACCGCGTCCCTCCCCCTCGATCCTCTGGTCCCTCAAGCTCTCAACTCTCTTCCCTTAAACACCCAACGCTGATCCACGCACCGGCGACTGCACCCAAAGCCTCGCTCAACGGCAGACCAGCTGCTTGTTTCTTCTCTCTTGCCATCGAGCATTCCCTTTTTTGTGTCACCAGCCCGAATCCAGAGCAATCTGGCCAGCCGTCGCAATGGACCACTCCCAGCCGTAAGTACCGGCAACCCCACCATGACACCAGCTATCGTCACTGCAGATGCTGCCGGCAAGCTTGCCAGCGCGGCGGGGTCGAGCCAACAGCAAAAAAGACGACTGCAAACGGCATCAACCACGCGCGCCTTGCTAACAATTGCCATGCAGCCAAACCATCGAACTCAAGGAGAACACGACGATTGTCGTTCTCGGTGCCTCCGGAGATTTGGCTAAGAAGAAGACGGTGAGAATCATGGATTTCTGCGCAGCTTTAGCTTTTGCTCTGCGACCTTTGCGCTGACATGGACTCTTTGAAACTCGCAGTTCCCCGCGCTCTTTGGCCTGGTAAGCAGCCCAACCACAACCACAACCACAGCCACAGAATAAGCCATGGGCTTTCTCCCTTTCTTTCCTTGAGAAGGGTGTAGGAAACCTCGAGAGATGCATCGGCTGACCACCTCCATCATTAGTACCGAAACCAATTTCTGCCTCAGGGCGTAAAAATCATTGGCTATGCCCGAACAAAGATGGACCACGAGGAGTACCTACGGAGGGTAAAGTCATACATCAAGACGCCCACCAAGGAGATTGAGCAGCAGCTGGAGGAGTTCACCAGTCTGTGCAGCTATGTTTCCGGCCAGTACGACAAGGACGAGTCTTTCGCTGTCTTGAACGACCACCTCAACGATCTGGAGAAGGGATGGCCAGAGGCGCATCGCTTGTTCTACATGGCGCTGCCCCCTAGTGTCTTTACCATTGTCTCGCAGCACCTGAAGCGATGCTGTTACCCAACCCGGGGTATTGCCCGAGTTATTGTAAGTTTCTTTTCTGCGGCTGATCCGACTGATCTTCCCATTGACGCCATCTAATCACTCGCCTACAGATCGAGAAACCCTTCGGTAAGGATCTTGCTAGCTCTCGCGAGCTGCAAAAGTCTCTGGAGCCAGACTGGAAAGAGGAAGAGCTCTACCGTATTGATCACTACCTTGGAAAGGAGATGGTCAAGAATATTCTCATCATGCGCTTCGGCAACTCCTTCCTCGGTGCCACCTGGAACAGACATCACATTGACAATGTCCAAATTACCTTCAAGGAGCCCTTCGGCACTGAGGGCCGTGGAGGCTACTTTGATGAGTTTGGCATTATCCGAGATGTCATGCAAAACCATCTTCTCCAGGTCCTCACCCTCTTGGCTATGGAGCGCCCCATCTCCTTCGACTCCGAGGATATCCGTGATGAGAAGGTCCGTGTTCTCCGAGCCATGCCTCCTATCGAGCCCAAGAACGTCATCATCGGACAGTATGGAAGATCATTGGACGGAAGCAAGCCATCCTACAAGGAAGACGATACCGTGCCAAAGGACTCTCGATGCCCCACATTTTGTGCCCTTGTTGCTTATATTAAGAATGAGCGATGGGACGGCGTTCCCTTCATCATGAAGGCCGGCAAAGCCCTCAACGAGCAGAAGACGGAGATCCGAATCCAGTTCAAAGATGTCACATCCGGCATCTTCAAGGACATTCCCCGAAACGAGCTTGTTATGCGCATCCAGCCCAACGAGAGTGTCTACATCAAGATGAACTCGAAGCTTCCCGGCCTCAGCACCCAGACTGTAGTCACTGAACTCGACCTTACCTACCGTCGCCGATTCTCGGACCTCAAGATCCCGGAGGCGTACGAGTCGCTTGTGCTCGACTGCCTGAAGGGCGACCACTCCAACTTCGTCCGTGACGATGAGCTTGACGCAAGCTGGCGCATGTTTACCCCCCTACTACACTACCTAGAGGACAACAAGGAGATTATTCCCATGGAATACCCCTATGGTAAGTTGCTTTTTCCCCCAATCTTGTCAAAAGTCCACTTACTATAGACTATTGAATTGACCTGTGCTAATACGCCTTGACAGGATCTCGAGGCCCCTCTGTCTTGGATGACTTCACAGCATCCTATGGATACAAGTTCAGTGACGCTGCCGGCTACCAGTGGCCGACAACCTCTGCTGCTGCTCCTATCAAGTTGTAAGTAGCCGGCTACCATGTGTTGCGCAATGTTTGTTGTATATTATGGCAGAATCTAGGCGGAATACAAGAATAACACTTGATACAGTTAAAAAAAAAACATACAATAAACGAAAAACAAAATTTTTATACATAAATCCGTCCCGAAATGTAACGTATTGGACGTGTAATCGGTGTCAGGAAAGGCATGTAAGGGGGTGCGGTGGATTTCATTAAAAGTTTGAGCGTCGTACTGGATTCCTAGGATTGGGGGTATTATTTCAAATATGAAAAATTCTAGATGACTGGCTCGAAGCACATGTCTGTTCTATACTACCCAAGTTAGCCATGAAATTGCAGAGAGCTTCTCACAAAATATTTGACCAGCAATGCTCCGAGAACTCTTGGTATTGCTTGACAAACGTTGGAGTATTCAACTTTGTACTTTCAAGTTTCCCTGCTCCATCTGGGCTCCATTACCACATCTGTACTAGCCGATCGTTTTTATAGCACTATTGCCGGTGCTTGGGAGCTATCATGGCCCGTGCGCCGCTAATCACGTGATAACGCCGACAAGCGTTTAGCGTCCGTCAGCCTCTAGTTGTATCACTCGAATCTTTAACGGAGAAGGGCGGCTTTGGTTGGCGCATCATCTTCAACCACCCCGACTCGCTCCCAAACCCGCGCCTATATTTTATCTTCCTCTCGCATACACACGCCGGCCACAACACGCTTCGGATCGCTCGTCCTTGGAGCAATCATTGCCAAGATCCAAGCCGCGTTCGCACTCTCTCGGCTATTCTACCCGTGCCCATCTTCTTCACAGCCACCTACGTCCGAAACGAAATCCATTCAAATACGCGCAGACGCCTTCGACCGCTACCGATAATACCGATCGAGCGCTTTGAGTTGACAGGGCATCCTTGAAACTGCAGCTAGAACAACCTCAACCCGGCTCCTACACCCGTATGCGAAATCGTTTCTAACGCGCGCGCCCGATTGTCCGCATCGGTGCAGGCGACCTCAATGGTCACGTCCCGCTACCGCGGTTCATGAGAAAGGCAGAATCTTTCCCGTCCATGATACGCGCGCTGCAGCTTGATTTCTCTCTCAAAGCCGCGCTTATTGCGTTGTCAGGGGGGCGTGGTGCCTGCAGTGTCAGCTTTTGCGCGGGTAGCTACAGCAATTTTGCTGCCGCGGTTCGATAAATGCCTGGCATCGTCAATATGGAGAGCGGAGGCCAGAATGGTGCGCTTTCAGACCATCATAAGGACTCGGCTGTAAACGGAGTCAACGGCGTCAAGAGCGTTGATGGATCAAAAGCTGCACCGGATAAAGGAAAAGCGCCAGTTACGGCAGCAGCCAACAATGGGAGCGATGCTGTCAATGGAGGGGCCGCGGGCGGGCTACGAACAGACTCGCCGGGCGAACAAGTGTCGAGGATGAACGATTTGCCTGACGAGATTGTTCACATCACACAGGGCTTCATACCGATATCCCTACTTCTTACGCGACTCGCCCAGTCTACCCACAACATGATACAGGACAAAATTGCCGAACTTGCCAAGATGCCAATCTCGACCGCCGCTACAAACGGTAGTACAAATTACACCCAAAGCGCCCCGGATGATACATCGATGGAGAACCTGAAAAAGAAGGGGGTGCTGCTGAATTTCATACAAGACATGCACTCAAAATGGGTCAAGGCATTGGTTATTACGGAGTGGAGCAGAAAAGCTTCCATGGTCAGCAAGCTCATCGACCTCAAATTTCACATCGATCAGCAGCGCCAACTTTACGATGCAGCTCTGGATAACATCATAAATGTCAAGAGAGATCTCACCTATGCTCGAATGCCAAGCCCTGATTTGAAGACGGCATTGCAGATTCTTGCCACTGGAAAGGCACCGTGGATGCCTGATGTAAGTTATTCTCCCTATCCCAATTTGTGTGACGATTGTCTCTTACATGGTTGTGTGTGAAGCTTCAATACATCGAGCTGCCTCCTTTGACACTAGAGGAGCAGCTGAGGGGCATTGGCGATTTAGATACACTACTCTCTTTGCGATTGAATCTTGATGATTTCGACAAGATTCCTTACCAATTCCAAAACTACACGATTGGGTCGGGCCGGGTGACTTTCAAAGTTGCGGGAGAGTTCGAGGTGGACCTGACAATTGCCGATGAGGATTTTGAGAAGCAGTTCTGGTTTATTGACTTCAGATTTGCATTTCGACCAGTAACACTGACGCTTCCCGATACATTACGAGCGTTCTTGGAGAACTGCGTAAACGAGGCGCTCGCAAAAGACGGATTGGCTGGCTGTTATCAGTTTTTACACGAATTTGTATTGACTGCAAAGATCAATGAGCTGAAACGCCAAGCGCTGCAACTGAATCGGACATCATGGAGTGGCACATTGGCAGTAGAGCCCTTGAATCGGGCTTTAGCCATTCAGTACTGGACGTCTCGATCGGCAGCTACAGGTCTGAAAAACTGGGTTATTGTAGCGGTAGGCAGCGGGCGTAAGCCGGGAGGCAGGCCGGATCCGAAAGCAACAAGCTCTTTGGTAGTTAAGTGGTACCGCGACAACAAAGAGGTCAAAGATGTCGAGGTTAAGATGGATTTTCAGAATCTATCAGCGGAATCATTACTAAACGACATCGTTGGACGGCACATTGAGTTTATCCTCTCAAGCATTCACTCTGGATTGCTGGCAACCCCGAGATACAAGAATCGCGACACTGGTGTGGCACTCAATATTTCCAGAGCTGATCCAGTGACCTCCTGCTTAGCACTTCAGGTAGGATACGGTGGCACGGTGTCGCTCCTGATCGAACCGATAAGTGGCGCCTTCGCCATGAAGCCACACTCAAAGTTCTCAATGCAGCCAGAGCTTCAACTAAACAACGGCAAAAATCCATTGGACGACGGTGTGAACTTCTTGGAGCACCTGCGGTGTGCGATTATAGAGGATGAGTTGGGCAGAATGGGAACTGCGAGAGGATGGTCTGTCCGCAAAGCGCCCGTCAACACTGATGAGTTGAAGTCAATCACCAAGATGCGCAGATGGAGCCGAACTCTATGGCTCCAACACGGAGGATGGGGATCGCCCTGGTTTGTTGTCGTCATCCTCAGCTTAGACGGGGATGAGTGGTGGCTGCTTGAGACGTAAGTGCATGCTAGCAATAACTTGAACCGTTTTCACCGCTCAAAACTGACTGATTACATGCAGGGATCCTACAAAATCACTTCCAAATGCAAACAGTGCCTCCAAATTTTCAACCCGTCTTCCCCTGAATAAAGGTGCCCCGCAAGTATCGGGCACATTCTGGGATAACCTCAATACATTTGCGGCTGGCATAATAGCGCAGTCAATCGATAAGAGGGAGCTGCGTCGACTCAAGATCAAGAGCCAGTCGAGCGGCAGTGCCGATCTATCGCTCCCGCAGCAAGTTAGGATGCCATCAATCGAAGTAGCGCTATCGAATATCTTCCCATCGATGATGCAAGAAGCAGCAGAAAACATTACGCCCCAGAGTCTTGGTGTCATTATTGAACCGAATGAGGATCTGCAGACTCTTTCGTTAATACGTCCAAATTCTACATCATCTTCAACTACGAAGCAACCGTGGGCAGAAGACATGATGGCAATCAGGTTCAAGGGTGTTCATGCAGTGGCCAGTCGTGCAGGGCCGGACGTAGGCCATGCCACAGCTCATCACCTTGTTTGTACGTCTGAAGCCGTGATTAGGGTCCGACAACCAAGCAAGTTCCTGGCTCTGAAGGGCATGGTCGATCGCGATGTCTCCTATGATCCTAAGCGAGGCGAATTTGTGTTGCAGATACAACGACCGGTCACTCAGCCAATTTTTGATATTCTCAAATCGCGAGTCAAAGCTATAGACAGATTTGTCAACTTTCTCGAAGCTATGGAGAATGCCAAGGGTTCAATTATTGGCGAGTCCATCACACTCAAGGCAGTCGTATTCTGCTACAGCGCGCCGGTATCCACACAGCCAAAGGATGAAACTGCGGCTCCGGTTCCATCTCCTGAGCGTTGGAGAGTGAAAATGGATCTGTCCAACGAAGACATTGATATCCACATCGAGAAGCGTAACCCCCATCTCCGTGTTATTGATCTCGCAAGAAACTTGGCGAGCACTGAAGGCGGTATTGGCCCATTGATGGCCTGGCTGCCCGTATCACTACCGGCTTTGAAGGCTATTGACCAGCTAGATGCCGAATGGGACGAGCTGTCGAAGGAGGGGCAGGGTCGATTGAATTTCAGTATGAAATCTCTCACTTGGATGAACATTAAGTACAACATCTTTGGGGCCAACGGTACCAAGGCGAAGACTAAGAAGACCATCTGCTTGGACGTCCGGATAAAGCCCCGCCGCGGACAGGTTTGGTGGCACGCCTGGCGCTCTGATGCTGATGCAGCAGCAGACGACGAGTTTAGCAAAGCACTGAAGGCCGTGTGGGATGGCAAGGGGAGCAACTGGCTCGGACTTGCCACCGGCGCGGCAGCCGAGGCCAACGACGGCGTGAGAGACATGCTGCTTGCGATCGATAAGGCGATTAGAGGAGCTATAACAACCTCAACAGGGAAAAGGACGCACTAGGTAACTGTGTTGAATTGGCGGCGAAAGTGCAAACAGCTTGCTCAATGTTAGACGAACACATATATTTCTATTGGAAGGTTGTCGTTTACGGGGAACCCGTATAGACTTTGGAGTACAAAAAAGGGGGGGTTGAAGAGGCGCAAATACTAATGCTCTAAAAGGCCTTTGGAAAGGGCTTTGGTCGGTTTGGGTTTCGGTTCGGCAACCAGGAGGGGGGGGTTTCTGCGGTATCATTCGCGCTCCTCTTTCTTGCATTTCTTGCTTTTTTTAAAAGAAAACTAATGATACCTTTTGCGAACAAAAACAAAACTTCTCATGACTCGGCGAGTGCATTGGATAATAGGGGTGGAGGAGGGGAAAGGGGGTTTTTGCAAGATTTGAGTCAACATGGGAGGACACAGATTCTTTCTGCAGCATTCTTAATGAGAAGAAAATAAAAAAAGTGTATAATCTTTCTCTCAATTTGAAAAGGACGGGTGGATGGGTTAAATAGCGATGCGATGCTTAAGAGATAATGAATAGCGTGAGGAATCAAGGAGACATGACTTGCTTTGTTTCTTTGTTTGGAGCGGAGGAAATATTTATTATGAAATAGATGCCTAGTAATCAGTTTTAACGTATGTATATATATATATATACACTTGCAACATATTCATTTTACTATCCAAGGTCTATGTGTACCTAGATATATACAGTGACGAATATCAAACGTAGTGGTGATGCCGTGGTGTCCCGTCTAAATATATAATGGAAAGAAACATTACCTGAATTTCTCATGGCCCCCTCTTTTTTTCCATTTACACATTCTACTTGAGCCGTCTAAACTTCCTCACCGGAATCCTCTCCGTGGGCACCCCGCAGAACTGCGTCGGGAACTCCATCTGCTCCAGCCCCGTCGCGAGCCAGTCCTCCTTGGCGACCGTTCTCGCAATATCATAACCATTGCGCAGCGCGCCCATGGCGCCAATCTTGGTGTAGGACCCTCCCGCGACGGCGAGCTTGCCTCCAAAGTGCGCGTGGATCTCGTCGTCGGCGGCCATCATGTTGTCCAGGTGGCCGCGGTCGTATTGCGGGATGCAGTCCTTGGCGAGGCGGGCCATGGCGTAGCAAGGGGTGGACTGGGGGATGCCGAGGTGGCGCTCGAGAATCCTCTTTGCCTGCTGGATGGCTTCTTCCTCGGTTGGGATGGGCACGGTTGAGGTTGAGCCCGTCTGGGGCTTGCTCGAGTCGTAAAAGTGTCCGCCGAGGAGGACGAAGAGTTTTGTGCCGGCGGGTTCGTTGGGACCTTTGACGCCGACGTCGGAATCGAAGAAGACGCCGAGGGCGCGCTCAGGGTTCTGTTCCGGTGGGACGGAGAGGGGGATGAGATAGCCGAAGCCGGGGGGCTTGAGATTTGTCTGGGGGTACCAGATGTTGACGGTCATGATGGAGACGGAGTGGGAGGATTTGAGACTGGGGATGTCGTTGGTGATGCTGGCGAGGTGTTGAGAAGGGAGGGTGGAGATGACTTTGTGGTATTTCTCAGATGATGTGGTTGGGTTTTGACCAGATGTTATCTGAATGTCATGGCTTTAGTAAGGGGAAAGGCAAAAAAGATATCAAGATGCGAAATCATACCTTGATCTGCTTTGTTTCCGAGTCATAACCCAGGTCAGTGACTTTGGCATTGAGCTTGACCTCGACATTGGCCTGGCCCTTGAGCGCATCCGCCAACGCGATCGGCAGGGTCTCCATGCCAGACTCCCCGAAATTCAACAGCGCGCCCCTGGGCTGCCGGGCAAGCTTCCGGAGCTGAGGGTCCTCCGCCATTGTCTCCATAAAGGTCTGCTCCGAAACGGCCATGTGCCGCATATTGGGCCCCAGATTCGGCATGTAGTGAACCCAGTAGAAGCGGTCGAGGACGCTGCGCGCGCTGAGCGTGTAAATGTCACCGCCGTAGATGCCGTGGACCATGGCCGAGGCCAGGTTATCGGCCACGGCTCGACTCCCTGTGATGTGGTAGATCCAGTCTGCGATGGAGAGGTCCTCCACAGGCACCCCTTCCTTCTTGTTAAACAGCCGTCGCATCACGTATCCGAATCCTGCCCAGAGGGATTCGAGCACGACGGGCTCTCTAGCAAAGGCGGCGAAGCTCGTGTGTGGGGGCATGGGCACGAGGTGGTCGGGGTAATAGATGTATCGTGGCTGATCGGGCGGCGAGGCAACTTTGAGACCTAGATCGAGGGCCTAAATTTGAGTGATAATGGAAACGTATCTCGTTAGCCTCTTATCCATTCATTCTTTGAGGTAAATTCCATCCATTGGCCCAATGCCAGTGAAATCAGCCACGATATAGGCCAACAAGTCGTAGACGCACCAGATCCCAAAGCACCAAATCGTCAAACCGCCAAGTGCTCTTATTCAACGATGAAAACGACCGCGGGCCGCGCTCGAAATTCACCACCCCCTCGACTCCTCCAACTTTTACGGGCACTCTATCCGTCCTTATCCATCCACCCAGCCGATCGCTGCCTTCCAGCAGCGTGATCTTGGTCGTCGACGGCAGCCACTTGGCCAGGTAATATGCAGTCGTCAAGCCCGTCAACCCGCCACCTAGAACGGCCACCGAGGCATCCTCCGGTAGTTTTCCGGCCTTCTTCCGCTTCGGCGTGTCGTCTCCATCGTCGATCGAGCCCGGCGGTCGTCTCGTCGAGCCGTTGCCGCTGCTGTTGCTTCTGGTTGAGCTCAGGCCGCGGCTCAGAATGCGCCAGGCGCCAGCTCGGCTTGTCGCTGTCGCCAAGACGGCGCTTCTCCTCCAGGCGGCTGAGGACCTGCTGAGAGCCACTGCGGCGCCTTCTGCGCGCTGTAGGCTCATGATTGTCGTTCAATTGCTCATTGTCGAGCTCTGGTTGAGCAGAGAAACGTGGTGGTGCCACCTCTGGAGCTTTCCGGGAACCACCCACATTAGATGATCGGAGATCGGGTCCCACTTTGTTCCGCGCTCTAGAGACACAGTCCCGCCTCGGCGTCATCTTCTACTTATACCTAGGTACTGTTGTGAGATCTACGTAGACATATTAAACAGTCTTCACTGAATTCAATAGGTTGGACGTGATGATACTTGAGGAATTACAAAAAGAGAAAAAAGAAATATCTGTTATTATCCGTCTCTAGGCTCGAATTGTAAGAGCCCCCGGCCTAACCGGCCACTACTACAGAATGCCAACCAAGGGCGTGTATAAAACTTTGTGATAAATCTCCGCGTAAAAAGCCCATTATCTCCCAGCCCAAAAACGCCTTTCTATGCCCTGGAAGCGTGATAAGAAACATATACGTCCAGCATAATCGTACAGATCCTCCAAGCCCAAAACAGTTTCATACAAGGGCTAAATGACCGTTTTTTTTTTCAGGTAACTGAAGCATAACCATTCTCGTTCTCGCCCGAGATGCGTCAGGAACTTTTCGTGTTTTGCTTTTTCTTTCTTCCCTTCTATTGATCAACCAATAACTTCGTTTTGTACCATGTCTTCCAATCCGGGTTCTCCGGGAGCTTCGGGGTGAATGAAATCCTCTTCAGCGTTGTCATCCACAAACTTTCTCTCGCTAACATGGCCCTGTTCAGAAGTCCAGACCTTGTCCTTGAAGCCTCCTTGCTGGCCCTCCTCATGTGCAAAGGCGCAAGTGGGATTTAGACAAGGGTTGAATTTGCACTTGGTCTTAACGTGTGTAAATTTGCAGTTTGGTGTCGTACAATCTGCGCCATTGCGGCAGAGGGGCATTGAAGGGTGTTTGAACGGGCATCGGGCGTTTTGGCAGTTGGGGAAGAACTTGCAGTCCTGTTCGCTCTGGTGCGCAAGCCTTGCGGCTGGCGAGGGGTGGCGGCCGACGCATTTGCGGTTTTTGCAGGCAGCACCAAAGCCGCACACATCGTTGACATCGATAGAAACACCAGGAGGCGCAGCTGGAGACTGATGTGCGAATTTGCAATCTTTGTTTGTGCAGTGAAGATTGTATTTGCAGATCGTCTCGTCCGGGTTTGGAGGCTCGCGCTTGCCCATATCAGCATCCTCGCCTTCGGCAGCAGTCTCCATGTTGACTTCATCTCCGTTCGCATCAGCTTGATTCGAGCCTTGACCTCGGCGAAAATTGTTCTTGTGGCGAGGATCCTGGGTTCTCTCAAATAGAGACTTCCCTCGTCGCTGCTGGCCAAATCCTCGGTTCCCATTGTTCATCATCTGCTGAGACAGCTCCAGCATCATTTGGCTTTGCTGTTCCAGTATGGCCATGACATCTAGCTGAGAAGGTTGGCCTTGCATCTGCCACTGAGGGAATCCCGGTCCGCCAGGAGCGCCAGGCATAACGCCGCCCGGCATGCCTCTGTTGTTGTGCTGATTCCGCATCAAGCCGCCGCGGCCACCACGAGGGCCAGTTGGGGGGGCACGCGCATGAGTATCGATTCTTCCGCCGCCCGTTTGCCCGCGAACTCGATGAAGAACGTTGTCGTTTGATCGATCCATGGCCTTGGACATCTGTCCAAACATTCGCTTATCCCGTCCTCCTCTAAAGTTGCCATTGCGCATTGAGCGGGGGCCAGTGGGCCTGCGAAAAAGGGTCTGGTTAGCTCTAGAGATTCTCTCGTCTGTGCCATGAAGGCTTCAGTTATGCAAATGGTACTTACGCATTCAGCTCAGATACATCGTGGGATCCCATATCCGTATCCATTTCTCCACCTGCAGCGTCGCCCATGGAGTCGCCGCCGTTTTGCTGGCCATTCGGCGCGCTAAGAATATGAACCTGTTCAAATAGCCATTTGGAAAACTCGTGTACGACAGGATCATCGAGCGGTAGGTTTAAAAGGTCTCCGGATAGCTCAGCGGCAATCTGGTCTTGCGTCTTGCCATTGACGAGCATCAGAATAATGTATTCGGCGAGGGCAGAGTCATCGCTGCCCCCCGTGCCCCATCCCACCTCAAGTAGCTTCGGTAGAATCGCAGCATTGAGAGCCTCCGCCAGCGGAGTGC